ATATATATATATATATATATATATACATATAAATATATATACACACTTATGAGTGGATCCCAAACTGTAGCCATAGAGTGATGTATTCCAAGCACCAAAATCATGATGAGAAAGTAAGCAACACTGAAATGGACAAACCTGCTACCCAACCTGAAGAAGTACAAAAAGGCAGCACCCAGGCTCATATTGACAGACCTATGTATGCCTTACTCAACCTAAGGAAACAGAATTCATCTGGTCTAGAATTATGAACACTCATCTTCACTCCCCAACCATGTGGGCAAGGTAAATTCCACTTGCCCCTAGGATTATGAGGAGGGCATGGAACAACTGTACTCAGGATGGGACCATTCTGCAATCGAAATTACAAGGAGACAGTGGATCCTGTTCCATGAACAACGTACTAAACAAATATTGATAAAAAAAAGGGGCCACATTCAACCCAACCAGATAGCCATGCATCAAATCTGAACTGGTATTACAAGCTGGCTCCTGCATAAACTGGTGTCACTCCTACTAATGTCTGGGAAAAGATATCCAGGGACACAGGTAGGAGGGCCCCCAACCTTGCTTTCTTCTCCAAGAGTGGAGGAATTCACTCTAACACTCTGAAGGAAAAACCAATGTCCACCACCCCAGCAACTGGAAACTGGATGAGGTAAGAACTCCCTAGTTCCACTAGTAGAATCTGGAAAGTAATGCATGTTGGGAAGTCTTGAGGAAGCGAGCTCTGGAAACCAAGTTCCCTAAATTTTTAAAAGCAAACCAACCCGATTTATTCAAACCAATGATCAGCAGGGACAAGCAGAATCCCCTTATGCTTTACTCATGATAGTCTATGAGTTACGGTGGAGAATAGTACAGTAACACCACCCAGTTAGCCTCTAGGTGGTGTTATGGAACACCACATTTCTACAGAGCCTGTTGCCACTGGCAGTAATTCTCTAGGGAATCGAACCCCAGATCCCAGTGCTGCAAGTCTGTAAATTTACCACTGTCTCAAAGGGGGGTTGAAAATCCAACAGATTAATGTGGAATTGGTTTGATAAAAGCACATCTGCCTGGGCAACACTTGCCACAGAGTGGGATCCTGTGAAAACAAGGTAAGAGGCCCTAAAAGGTAGCAATGAAAATACTCACCCCTTGGTATAATCTAGCAGAAATGGGTTAAAATAGCTACAGGGGGAAGACAAAAATCCTCAGATGAGATTCTGCCACATCATGCAAATAATGTGAGATAAAAGTATTAGGAAAGGTCCACATACCAGTCTGCACAATGACCTCGAGCAGGCAATTCAACTGGGCTGTTAAGAACATAGAAACATGACAAATCTGATTAAATGTGATACACAGAAGATTCCTCACCTTCATAGACAGCCCAGAATAAAAAGTTGTTGTCTAGCATTTCTAAAGGCATTAGTACACCCAACAAACCCTTCAAGACCCTCACTGAACATGACCGTGATCAAAATCAGATCGGACAGAGAAGGGAGAAATAGTGATCAGATGAATCGGACACAGAAGTGAGAAATAGTGACCAGATGAATTGGTCAAAAGAATTTATCTCCTTTCCTGTCTGACAGTGTCTCAGGTAAGAAGAACTGATCTGAAGATGTAGAGAGAATGAGAAAGCAGTCTGTGAACAAACAACAAAAATCACTCTGACCAGCAATGTCAGTAATGAAAAATAAACCATCAGGTGAAGGGGATACATGGCATATAAGAATCATGTCACAAACAGGTGTTGTAACCTTAATATACGCATTACGTAACTGGAATGGTCATTTGGGACAAAGGACCCAAAACAAGTTGAGGAATACAGAGAGTACTAGAAAAATATTTAGTCGCAAGAATTGAACAGTAGTCGATAAGGCTGCCTTAAATAGGGTGATTGTGGAAGATGCAAAACTCCTACCAAAGAGCCTGGTAAAAAAACGAGTTATAGTTGACACTTCTCATCAAAATGGGTTCAACCTCCTCTTAATACACCATTGCCAATATGCGTGTCATTTTGAGGTCAAAATTTCATATTGTTTTAGACCCAAATACAGTTTTGTTACTATGCTTGATAAATTATAGTAGAATTCTATGGTATTGATAGAGTAATTTACTATTTTTTGGTTATTTAAAATGTATATATAAAACCTAAAAAAATTTTTCTTTTCACATCCTCCATGTGGGAAACTTCATAAGGCTTAGCAGCCTACGACAAGCGGCAAACGAGTACAAAGGTCGTAACTGGAAGATATAATTGTTTGTATTACTTCTTTATTTACTGTTCTATGTTTTTTTTATGAAAATTAAGTTTAAGAACTTATTTGCAAATAGTAATAATGTATAGACATATATAATGTACAATAATTGAAATGTGACTGTATTTTACAAAATACTAGTCCACTAAAACACAGCTAAGACAGATTACTTTGTAAAGACAAAAGGTCAGATATATATTATTGGATACGGTAACACGAGTGCACGTACGCCACATCATAGTAACTTCTGTATTGTTAGCCAGGCACGGCTGGAAAGTAAATATAATAAAAATAATAAATATATATATAAATGTTATGAGATTTAAGCTATTTAGACTAAACATCTGAGTTTTTGAGTTATAATTTGTAGTCATTCTAGAATGAAAAAAGCATTTTTTTCCTAAATTTTTATTGAGGTTATAAAGTCGGTCAAATCGAACCAACCTGTACAGAAACACAGTTGTGAAAACAATAAATGAAATAAAAAGTTTTTTCTAAAAAAATGTCATAATTATCTGGAGATTATAAAGATTTTGCATGTGAAATTTTAAAATGTTCTAATACATTAAAGTGTTTTTAAACTTTAAATCAAAAGAAAATCTATAATTAAAAAATCTTAATACTTAATTTAAAAACTTTGTAATGTTTACTAATAACCTGCAAAGTTTTGTAAAAATGTGCATACATTATCAAAAATCACAGTATAATTACTCTCATGGGTACTTTCATGGTTACAAGATGGGTGGATTCCATCCAGCCCATAATGGAAAGGGTTAATAAACCCAGACAATGAGGCATTGCCTTTTGAATAGCATGAAATACTAAAACATTGTGTTGGAAATCCTCATCATCTGTGTGTGGACCCTGGAATTCCTGAATGTTGGTATATGCACCCCATTCTTGAAGTAAAGTTTTTATGAAGAGATGGAACTCTGGACAAGGTGACAGTAGTGGAACCCATATCTTAGTAGTGTCCTGACTTAACAACCCCTCGAGACTGAAAAATGATCATGACTAAGGAAACTGAGGAATCCAGTGAATCAATGTGTATGATCCCTTGGTTGCATAAAGACAATTAAAAGGGTATCATGTGCTCTTGTCCCAAAGACATGAGGGATTTGAGTGATGCCCACATTCCCAGAAGAGAAAGAACCATCTGTGCATTGGGAGAAGGAGAGCTGAGTAAAGAGTTGGGCTTCCTATTCCACAGCATTGAGCTGGAAGGGAGTAAGCTGAGCCAGACTGAGATGAAAAATAAAAAATACTCAGACTGATGATGTACTGAATTGGAGAAAGAATAGATGTCTCAGCCCTGAGAATGAAGCCTGCCTTGGTTGTTTCTGAAAGTAGAAACAGGATGTGATGTTCTGACTATTGATGAGATGTTGCCAGCAGTAACTAGTCGTCTATGGAATGATGTGTGCATAGTACGATGGAATGGAGGTGACAAGAGAAAAACTCGTATGATATGCAGAACCCATGTAAAGTCGATGCGAGTCTGAAGATATAAATCCAGAACTACAGTATCTGACCCTTGTGCACAAAATACACCAATAGTGGTGGGATACCACCACTATGGCAAAGTGCAGATAGGAGCTGACTACAACAAACTTGGACATCCACAATCCCAGTAAAAAATTTCAACTCAGATTGAGGAATGAGTAAAAATCTAAGAATTGACATAGATGAAAAAGATCGATGGCTGGATACTAATCTCCTGTCTTCTGAGGCCCAACAACCAATGGAAATAAAACAAGCATGACTCTCCCATCACCACCCTGACCAACCAAACTCTGATAGCCCTAGAACTAAGTTCCAAATCCTGAGGATCTGCAAGAGACAGAAACACTACAGGTTGGGTGGATAATAATGATGATGTGAACTGAATGACTAATCTTGATTCAAGGACCTGCAATGCTCCTGGATCCGTGGGTTAGGTTACCATATGTCCAGAAATTCTCAGCACCAGGCCCCATAGACCCTTAAGGCAGACAATAATTATCAGCATCACTGACAGTGATCTGACCAAGCAGCAGAACCCTTGGATATAAACAGAATCTATACTGGGTACTAATTTACCAAGGGGGTTGATATCGGGGGTTGGGACCAATGAATAGGAGCAGAACTATAACACCTGTAGGAGCCAATGATAATCAAAATGCCAATGACAACAAGGATGAGATTAGAAGTCAACAATTGAACCAATGTGTGTGCTAACAATGGTTCCAATGACACTGGTGATCCTGAGTCTTCCAACAAAGTGAAGTTAAAGAAAAATAAAATGTTGGATTTTAAGGTTGTAAATCCATAGATTTACCCTGTCCCATCAGGGGACATTAATCAATTCAAGTTAACTGCAAACTCTGCTTTCAATCTCCAAAATTCGAGGAGCAGATGTATTATTTAAGAGTCAGTAAATGCTTCTACCTGGCAGTGGTAGGCTAAATCACGAAATAAACTTCCCTGCATGATCCTTAATGCGTGTGGATGAAGAGAAAACTATAAATTTGCTCCCAGACTTTTGAGCCATCAAGTAAGGTGCTGGCTCAAAAGCAATCATGGAAAGACCCAAAAAATCACACCCTCGACGAATTAACTGAAGAAAACAAATCAAAGGCAGCTTATTCCAAAGTGGTCTCCTTTTTGTTTTTATATATCATTTAAAAAATGTGTTGATTACTGTTGATTGGAACTACACTTGGTCAGGTAAGTTTGCTTCGTTAGAGTAAAAGCAACATTGGGCTATTTGTTGTGTCCACTATAGGGAATCAACCACCAGATTCAAGCATTGCAAGTATGTAAACTCACCACTGTCCCACAGAGGGACTGAAAAACCAACAGACTAAAAGAAGGAGCAAGAAAAACAAATCTAAATTCTCTCCATAATGTCAAGGATTGCCCTCAATTGCAGTCTCAGAGCCCTCCAGAGGAACATCACAAAACCAAATATGTCTCCATCTCACGAAGAATAAGATCACTGATGACAGTCTCAACCAAAAGTGACTCTCCTCCCACCTGATTGTTGTGCAATGCTAGATATCACAGGTGGGATAGGAACGACCTGATTTGCCTCTGTGCCTGAAATAATAATCCAGGAATTCATACCGTAACCCGGCTTGCCAATCGGAAATTTTTTTTATTATCATTATTACAAAAATCAACTAGATAACACTCATAACGTTTAAAGTATCTCCAAATGATCATAATACTGGGAAACCCATTAGTGATGCTTTGTCGAGAAAAAGTGGTATCCTTATCTAAATGAGGCACTTAGGTACAGTACCAGGATAGAGGGCATATTGATGTAGGTGGAGAATGCCACGAGATAAATATCGCCAAGGACAATTTAGTGGGATATAAAAGACTAGAGGAAGCGAGAAAACATCAAACTAATGCTTAGATGGGCAAAGGAAGAAACCCTGGCAGCCAAGTAATAGATATAAGTATGTTTTGGAAAGGTTTATAAAACATACTGTATAGCAAGAGAAAGGCTAACTTTATATAAGCATAGAAGCTTAATGAGGTTTACAGACTTAGCAATAGGCTGAACCATTATTCTTACATCAGTATTTGCTGTGAAGCCTTTTCTCTCTCATTAGAGCAGAACACCTGATCAATATTCTGTCACAAAATTTACTAGGAATGCATGGAATATTTCTTCAAATACTCTGTAGCATGTCACACAATTCCACAGGTAGCCTCTTGATCTCCTCTTTAACCATGCAGGTCCACATTCCCTTAGTGTTGTTCAGATCTGAGCTCTGGCAGTTCAAAGCAGGAGTCAAGTGCTTTAATTACCCCTTTTCTCCCCCTTGCAAGTTTTTTACCATGTTGGTTATATGCTTAAGAAGAATTTTGGCACAGAGTGAATAAGTCATTCAAGCCATTGATATACCGCTCTGTTGCTGGTAGTAAAGCTAACAGTATGTTAGGTTATACTTATAGATATATTCTGATTAGAAATCAGATCTCCATACAAGTCACTAGTTAGACCTTACTTGTAGTACTTTGTACAATTTTGGTCTCTTTATGTAAAAAAGGATATTGACATATTTGAAAGGGTTCAGAAGAGGTTTACTAGGATGATGTAAAAGATGGAAGAGCTTTCTTAAAGGGATAGGGTAAACTCTCTTAAGTTGTTTTTCCTTGAGAAAAGAAGAGTAAAGAGTGATCTTACTAACGTGTACAAGATTATCTAGGGAATTGACAGAATAGAGGTCAATGATTTCTTTTTGCTATATTCTGAAGATAAGAGGACACGGGTTTACTGATTTGAAAAAGACAGGCTAGGTTCCAAGTAAGACAGTTTTATTTTTCTAACAGGGTGATTGACTCATGGAACAAGTTTCCATCAGTATTAAAGAAGACTGGCATTTTACAAAGGGAAGGGATGATTACCTGAATATAAATGATGGGTTTAAATTTGTATTTTGCTAAAGGGTGGATGTGCAAGGACAGCCTTGAAGGACTAAATGGGCCCTTATTGCCTGTAGGTTTATGTTATGTGAATTTTGGGTCTTTGGAGGAGTGTACAAAAGGCAACTACAAGAAAAATCACATGCTCAGTCCACACAGGGAGATTTGGATGTACAATAAGAACTCTTAACATGTTCAATAGAAAACTTACAAACATTAGAATAGCTTAACTATTTAGAAATAGTGCTTAATTTAAAAATACCCAATATATTTCAAAGACCATCTTCTAAAAAAAGAAAACTAGCCAAGGAATAATAAAAGCTTTATTATTTTGAAACACTTATTAGAAAATTATTTAGTAAAGCATTAGTGGTGAAGTGTCACGATCAGCATTGTTTGTAATTTCTTACTTACCTGAACCAAGATCATACCATAACCAGTAAACGCAGTAGATTCATCAGCAAGAACCTCTTTCATTGAACGCACTGTAGTTCCCAGGTAAACACTTATAATTTGAGCTGGCAAAAGTCCTAATGATGATGCCAACACATAAACCAGCCAATGGATGGATGTCACCTAGAAATTTGATCACATTTAGTGAAAAACTTTCATTCCTGATAATTTTGATCTAAAACAAAATGCTTAATTTGTGGTTATACTCAAACCACTGCATACAAATATAAATTGCCAAAATACAAACAATAAACACTTATTATTGGTATGAAGCAGCAATGTTTATATTAAACCTACAGCATATTGATAGCATTATTAAGTTGTAAATGTAACTCTTAATAAAATTATATTTGATTTAGAGTTAGAAACTTGCAAAACAGTTTGCCTGATGTGTTATTGTGTGTAATTAGTTTGAATTATTGTTGGATAAGTACATGGATGTGATGGCTACATGTGACTAGGTTTTAATAGTTTGGGTTGGTAAGACAAGACCTTGATACAGCATGTGATATTTGGAAACCTTGTTTTTCTTAGGTACTTATTAAGATCTTGTTAAATGAAATGCATATGTTATGAAGTAGTTCTTCTAGATTATCAAGACATCTGGATAGTCAAACCAGTCACTTCAAATACAATGGAAACTCCACTAATAGCAAACATTATCGCTTGATAAATGTAAGGGTCCATACTATCAAAGGTGGGCATGCAACTAGTAAACAAGAAAGTGACTGTATGTACAATAAACTTATCAGTATATTATTTTTTATGTTGTCAATAATTATACAGACTGCATAATCAAAATGGTATATAATGTAATTATATTCACATAAATCATCATTTTATTCAAACCAACAGCTTACATATAGAACACAAAATACACAGTACATGTATTGCTTTCTTGTATAAACAAACATCACATCTTAATTATACGGATATTTCTAGGTATTTTTGTTTTGAAGCATAAACTGACTTGAAATAACTGTTGCATTAATAAGTCTGATGACCTCTCAATATCTGTCATACTTTACAATACATCTACACTTTGAAGGTTGTTCTTGCAAAAATTGTTGTAAACCAATGCACCAGGAGTGCTGGTTGGGTCATTCTGAGCTATACTGTCATAAACTAGTACATACAATGAGTGTAGATCTTTTGTGGTAAGCAATTATCTCCTTGTTTCCTGTTCTGATCGACCCCTGCTTGACTCTTCTAGTCATGTACAAATTACTGATTAAGGTATCTAAAGAAAAAGCATGTTTGTTATAATACAAAGCTGTCTGGCTTTGGAATGTGAATGTATGGATTACCAATTCAATTTCCCATTGTGAAAATTTGTCTATATGTAAACTTCTCTGGACTGTCAATGTTTGGACTAACAAGGTTTCACTGTACTCACTTTTAAATAGTTACTTTAACACTAATTGCTGGAAATTATGACTTATACAGTTCCATCTATAGATAATATATCAAGCACAGAGTAAGAGTTAAAATCTACAACTCTTCATTCTAATTATGGTCATTTGCATGGGTATTGAAATTTTCTTTGTATTTTTCTCTAGTTAAAAGTAGCATCACCAGTACTCAGAATATTTTTGGGATAACAAAAATGCAAACAACAACTTGCATTTTTACTTGCAAAGTCTAGGGATATACAATTACAGTAGAAAAAGTTTAATGCTTATAAACTTAGATGATTTAGCATAACAATCAGTTTCTGACTTTGAAAAACTAGCTTCCACCATCAAAAATTACTTTTCTCTTCAATATTGTCAGAAATTTTGCATACATGCCAAGCATCAGGTATGTGATACTATTCTCGATACAGTCTAACAGACTAGTAGTAGATCTAGAAACTTCATTGAAATACACAACAAAAACATGTAAAAAAGATAAAAAAATAACTTTCTATTTGCTTATTGTTTTTTATTATTATATGTTCAGCTTATTGGTAAAGTTCTAGCACGTATAATATCCTCTTAACTAGCCAGCATTTACAGTACTCTGTACACCTATACTTATTGATTGTTCACAAGAGTACATAACCTATGACTACAATAACCATTCTATCATAATCAATCATAATAATTTGGTTGTAATTATGATTGGGTTACACAGTAATACTGTATTGGTAATGACCTCAAGATGCAATGCAACATGAGCCACCATTTTTCAAACATTTTCAACTCAGGCCATCCCTTGTTTCTTCGCTTTTAGCACCCATGTTTTGATAATTATTTTTCCCAAGAAACTTAAAAGAAAATTTATAACAATATATACAAAACGTAACTCATCTATGAATTACATTAAGATCCAATAAACTGATCTACTTAATGCTTTAATTTAACATGTGAAAAGATTACTTACGGCAAAGGCAGCATTTACCAAGCCAAAAGGCAAAGGTGATAGTCTTGATACTGCCACAACTTTGACAGCTTGTGTGTTTTCTAAAACTGCCATGATTGGCCACATTGTTTCCATGGCTACAAGACGAGAAGCTATAAAATTCACCATATTTTTCTTCATAATAAAATGAGCAACACTCATTCCAAAAGCAGCTGCAACAATATTAACTGTTAGGCCAGGAAGAAATCCAAAATGGTATCCACATGCAATATTCAGAATAATATAACCCCACACAAATGGAAATGATACAACAGTATAGAGGATAAAGAAAACAACACACACTATCCATTCCTCTTGTGAATCTAACCATATTAAACAACTCTGTATAATGTCTTTACCAATGTATAAGAGTAACAGAAATATTCCCAAAATAAGATTAACACATAAACATAAATACAAAGCATAGTTCCACGAGCGTTCACCACTTAACAAACCTGATGAACTAAAATTTGTTGAAGAAAATTCTCCCTTTTCTTCATCTGATAATGATGTTGTTTTGTACAACTGCATTTGAACAATACCTGATGTAATCTGTTTGGCATGTTCAGTATGAATTACAGGGAAAATATTTACACTGTCATAGTCCATTCTATAATATAATTATAATTAAAATATAAAGTTTTCCCTTAAAATAATGTAAATTCTATTACTATTAGTGATAAGAAATTGAAATGAGTTCATGCCTGCAACTTGCACAAGAATGAAAGATAGAGGACTGTAAAGTGAAAAATCAGCAAAATATAACAAGACAATACAAGTTACAACTCTTTTTTACATGTAATTAACAAAAGGAAATTATAGTACTAGTAGTAATGTAAGTTGTACCGATATTTATTAATTATATAATCTAGGCCTATTGCTTTGGATACGATGTTTTTTTTTTAACTAATAACTATATATCACACAGACAGATGTTACGCAACCTTCACATAAAAAAAGGTGGGTATAACAATAAATTTTAATATATTAAACTTTAAAGTAAATTTCTTATTCGTTCATTAAATCCAATCTTATTTCTAAATTCCAAACGCAACTTTACAAACGTGTTATCAAAATAATAATTCAACTACATAAACTAGCGACATCTAACATATGTCTCTAAAATCCTTCTTTTATGGTAATTTTGGTTAGATTGCTGTTGCTTTTTGTAGACCGAAGGGTTTACACAGAAGGATTGGATGGCTATCAGTCAGCTTACTTATTCTATTGCTCATATATTTAACAAATACTTTGTAGCTGCCAAACAATAAGTTGGGTATTTATCTATACAAAAAATTATTAATTACAATTTAGACGACAAGTCAAATTCTATTTTTGATACCATTAATTTCAATATAGGACAATATTTCAAAGTACTTTGTTCTAATCAAGGCATTAGTGAAAATTTTTAGCATCATTGGTAATAATTATGTCAAACAATGTAGTGGTTAAATAACTGAGTATGTGAAATACCACGTTGTTAAAATCACGAAACAATACTTTACACACTGATTTGGCGGGTGGTTGAATATTGATAAAATATAAAAATGAAAAATAAATCTCATTATATCAAACTTAGGCTCTTACATAAAACTTAAAAGTTGTTGGGGGCAACATGTAGCTGCATCATTATATTTCATACCATTGACAAAACGCTGCCACACTTGAAATAGCTAGTTTTTATTCGTTCACAATACTTCTGGTTTATTTGTTTTTGTAGTTAAGGGCGAAACTACACAATGGACTATCTGTGCTGTGCCCATCACGGGTATCGAAACCCAGTTTCTTGTGTTATAAGGCTTCAGACTGTGCCACTGAAAAGCCAATATTTCTGAAAAAGTATATGTATGCAAAAATTATATGCTATTGTAGATAACAAATCTTTTCAAAATTGTAAGATACTTAATTTGACCATACATAAATAGTAGAAACAATACAATGTGGTATGAAAATACGGTACATTTATTTCTTCTGTAAAATGAACTTCATATTTATAACTTTCTTAAAAAGTTCTAATTTGAGTCCAGGTTGTGTGCCAATTCAATCCCACATGTCGCTTAAAGAAGCAGAAAACGTGACCATTACATCCAAAGTTGTAAGGAGTCAACGTTGTTGAGACTGAGATCAATATCGTTGAGTCGTCAGGTAGATTACTTCTAGGCTTTAAAACATAAGGTTGTTAAGATACCATGAAAATAATACCCCAAGGATGAGTCTTCAAGTCAAATCAGATTGAAGGAACAACAAAGAGCTACCCAAACATCAGGAAACATAAATTAGTTGGACTTGTGGGGCTACGTTCAGCTTAGAATACCCCATCTGCTAAATGAGATAAAAGGTTCACTATTTAAAGAATCCAGGGGATGAGATTACGGATTTATTGATGGGAAGCCTTGAAATAAGTTGATGGACAGGGCTTCTACAGCTGAAATAGTGTTACGTCTCTGGTCGTTTAATTTTATTTTGTAGA